AATGTAAGTCAGGCTACAATAAAGACACTTGCACACCCATATTTATTGCAGCATTATTTATAATAGCCCAGATGCCCTATAACTAATGGACTAAGAAAATGTCACACACACACACACACACACACACACACACACACACAAAATGAAATATTATTCAGTCATAAAGAAGAATTAAATTTTGTCATTTGCAGGTAAATGGATGGAATCGGGGACCATCATGTTAGGTGAAGTAAGCCAGAGTCAGAAAGACAAAGGTTTTATGTTTTCTCTCACATGTAGAAGATAGATTCAAATACAAATACAAGCATTATCATATATCTATATCTATATCTATATCTATCTATCTATCATCTATTTATCCATCATCCTTCTATCTAGAGAGCATGTTTCCAAAAGTGGGACTGTTAGAGGAGAGTAAAGGAGGAGGAAAAGAGTAAAACAATGATAGGGAGTGAATAATATTTTATTTATTTATTTTAAATTTTATTAGCATGTAATAGTTTTACAGGGATACATTTTGATATTTACATATGTGCTTACAATGTATCTTAGATTTACCTCCTCTATCATTCTCCCTCTTCCTCCCTTCTTAGAACAATTTCAACAGGTTTCATTTTTCTATTTTCATATATGGATACAAAATACATCCACCATATTCACCCTCATCTCCCCTTTCCTTGCACTCATCCCCTTCCCTTTAGTACCCACCCCTGGAAAAGACTATTTTTCCCCCTCCTGCCCTTCATTTTTTTAAAAGTATGTATTAATAATTCAAGGGGGTTCTGCCTTGGTACCTCAGGCCTATAGGGAATGAATGATATTAAAACACACCACATCTGTGTAGGAACAAGTACAATGAAACACTGTTGAGCAACATTGGGTTAGGGGGGAAGATAAGGAAGAGTAATAGAAGGGGCTAGACTGATTAAAGTACAAAATATTTACAGGTATACCAAGGCAAACCGACACTAAAGTAATGGAGGGTAGGTCACGTTAAGAGGAAGGTAGTAGTGGGAGGGGGAGGGGAAATGAAGAGAGCAAAGGAGGTGAATGTGGTTGGGATACTTTCCATGCATGTATGAATATGGGACATTGAAATCTGTGAAAGTCCTTTTAAGAAGGGGGAGGAAGAGAGAGAATAATGGAGGGAATAAACCAAACCAGGGTACAATAAATGTACATATGGAAATGTCACAATGAAACCCCTGTATAATTATCATAAACTAATAAAACATTATTTAAAGAAGTTCTTTTAAATATCCAATCTCAAACCTTTGTACTGTAATTTTAATTATTTGAATTTTTATAAGTTATTAAATATTAAGCTTTAGTTTTTCAAAAACCCTTCAGCCTAGAAGAAATTCTTTGTCCAAACAGAGCTAGCCTTCTCTATCCTCAATGAAATTTGCATATGATAAATGTATATTGTATAATATGTGGTGCTATATTACATAAAAGAATAGTACATATGCTACTCTTCTATGACATATTTCCATATTTTAATATGCTAGTTATATTAAAAAGCAGAAGACTGACTCAGACTATTTCAGAATGTGTATGTAATGTTATTACCATACATCTATAAAAGTTCTCTATAGCTTATATTTTCTTGTTTGCTTTAATCCTACTAACAATGCAATGAAGTAAGTAGCATTAAATCATTCTTCTCTGGAGACTGAACCTCAGAGAAGAAAAGAAAGGTGTTCAGGGTCCTAATGCTAAGAAATAGCCACATAAGGAGTTGAAAGCAAGTAATCCAGTCCTAAACCCGGTACTCATCCCATCCCAGTATACACTGTGCACAGACTTGCTTCTCAAGCAGACTCATGACAGTTTAATTACCCTGCATTCAAAGAAACAACACTGAATTCACATTCCATCCTTCTCCCAACAGCAACAAGAAGCCACCACTTTCTTATAGTGGAAAAATTATAACTTCAGATACCCTTCTAGTTCTGAAGCTCCAACCTGTGATCTTGGTTTGATCTCCCAAAATTTGAGCTGGGGACAGCAGATAGAGACACGTAAGGCATAATGAAAGAGTTATTATATTGTTCTGCTCCAGTAGCCTCCTCATGCAAGGACCTGAATCTGACCTATAAACCTTCTACTAAATCCCTATTCTGGTTAGCATGACTTTACTGTTTGAATTACCGGCATAAGGAACCACAACTTTCAAAGATAATTTCAGTTCCAAGCATGTCTACATTTCCCTACTTATATATAAGCAGATCATACAAACTAGGAAATCAATTTTATTTCATTTTGGGTGTTGAGTCCATTTGGACCCTCTTGGGTGAATTTCATTTAGCTAACCAGAAAATTCTATAGTCCATAGGTTATTCCAGCCAATGAAGCTTATAAAGAGGGGGACACTTGGGAACTGAGGGAGACAGAACTTTTTGAATCCCAGTCCTTTCTGCTGGGACTGGAAAGGCCAGCAGCAATTCTGGAAAATTTTAACACATCTGTTACAAGAAGGCAGGTGGCAAGATGTAGTGATGAACTAGAGAGCATAGTGAATTTGGAGGACTGAGGCAAAAGCAGACATGACCAGTGTAACTTGGGGTACTTTTGGCCCACCCTTTTCTTCCTGTCAGTAATGACAGAATATTGGTGTCTTCAGCTGCTACAAGGGAGAATGCCTCTCCCTGACTCCCAGATTTGTGCAGTTTCATTAAACAGATTTGGAATTTGTTTTTCTTTACACCTCAGATTGGTCCTTTATTTAGGAGGCCAAGAGATAGGGTGAGAAGGTTCCATCTAGGATAAGGGAAAGGCAGGAAGTAAGGCAGAGTGGCCAAGGTCAGACATAGGCTTAGTTCAGATTTGTCGTTTGAAGAGCCATGGGTCTTATCTTCTGTGATCTTATCTTAAAATGAAAGGAGAAATTTGGGAGCAACTACAAACTATCCCCCCAGAAAATTGAAGTATAAGGAAATTTGCTTGCTCCCATCTCCATAATCTTTTTCTCTTAATCCCTCTGTAGCCACTTCCCCTCCCTCACCACCACCACCAGTCCATCTCAATTCTCTTCTTCTTTGTCTGTCCTCATCCCTTTGGCAAGTGACCATCCTCTCACCCTCCCCCATTGTATATCTTAAAGAAGTTACTAGCCGATCCCCTTCTGTTTTGTTTGGTAATATAGAATGCATAGCAGTAGGGGAAAATATAGAGACAAATAAGGACAATGAGGGGAATGGGAGCCAGAAAGATGGAGAGCCAGAGAGAGAGAGAACACTTTGGTGTCCCTTGTGGAGACTTGAGTGTCCACCCTGCCGTTTTTGAGATGGAAAAACCTGAGAAGTTTTGAAGATCCTTCCTGGACCTGTTCCACCTGTTTCCCCTTCCTCTCCTGAGCTCCATTGTTTACAAAGATCTCTCCCTGAACTCTTGCCCTCCTGGACTTGCCCTAGCTCTGGCCCCAGGCCTCCAGCCAGGCAGACACCCTGACAGGTTACAAATGAGTGTGGGTGTTGGATTGCACCAAGCTCTTGTCCTCTGAGTCCGGAGGAGGAGAATCAATGGGCTCTACCTAAGAGCTTCTCTTCTAGTGCTATCTAGGGTCTGAAAGAGTGAGGAAGGCACTTCCTGTTTCTCCTCCCCCAACACCAACCCTACAGACAGAGCAGAATTGTCAAAGTTCTACTCCTTAGCCTGAAAATTTGGAGCCTCAGGGCCTCTGAGCTGATTCCCCCATTTTCTGAGCAAACTCACTTTATCTATTCTAGAACATTCATGGAAATTTTGGGTAATCTTTAAGATTTAACTTGTATTGAATTTGTGGATTTGAAGCTTGGATTTTTTTTTTTTTTTTGGAAGGAGATGGAAGCTGATAGAGGAGAAGAGTTGGAGGGAACCAGAGGAATGCAGGGTGTCCACTTATTTTAAACACTTTGGAAAGAGAATAAAAATTCCCCTCCTTTTCATCTCCCTGTAAACATCACGTAGCTCTGTGCATTGCTGCTCTCTGGAGAGATATAGGGAGTTATTTAAGTCTGAGTGAGTGAGCCAGCTACAGCTATGGATGGCTAGAGAGAGGATAAATACATCTAGAGAGATGAGTTGATGGATAGGTAGGGAACGAATATAAATATGGAGAGAGATGGACGAACAGAGAGATGGATTGAGACAGAGAATATAAAGAGAGGCTGAGGGAAAGAAATGGAGGTGTGAATGAGGAGAGAGCGCCTATGCAGAGAGATGGAGAGAGGAATGGGGCAGTCCTCATGCTCCTCTCCACATTTGTGTAGCCCTGGCTTGCTCCCTTGAAAAGTCATTTTCTCACCTCTCAATTAATGAATTCTTCCTCTGGATTTTTAGACCCTGCCTCACACCCTTAGGTGTTTTTGCACCCCCTCCTTCACAGTCATCCATTTGGCCCAAGATAACATACCTCACCAGGCTGTCCCAGCCAGTCACCCCAAGAGAAATTGGGAGAAAGAAACACTAAGTGGGAGTTGTGGACAAAGTAAGAGGGCTGGATCCCCCACTTCCAGGTCTTGGGGGAGAAGGCTTCTTTGAGGGGTGGGAAGAGCGAGGGGCAGCTGGATTGAATTTGTTCAAATCTAATAATCCAGGAGCCTATTGAAGGCCTTGGGGGTTGGGAGGGGAGCAAAGTCTTGAATATTCTTCGACCAACTCCCTCCTCCCTCTGGTCCCTTCTTTCCAAAAGTCTTTGAAGAAAGATGTTTTTGACGCTTCCATGTCGCTCTCAGATGGATGGGCTGTGGGTGATTGAAGTGTCTTTGTCATGCTAATGCTTGGGGGGTGATGGATGGGCGCTGGGGCTGCCAAACTCTGGCCCGCTTAGCCCATTGGCCTGGGAGAGATCACATGTGCCCCCCCACCCCCACTCCCTACCCCCTTCCTAGGGGAGCGCGGGCCCAGGCGAGCTGGCCCAGGCCATGGATGCAAGCCTCAGCGCTGTGACATACTGCCGAAAGGTTGTAGGGCAAGAGGGTGTCTCCCCCAAACGGGCCGACCCTCTTGCGGCCTCCACGCATGGACTATAATAGGATGAACTCCTTCTTAGAGTACCCACTCTGTAACCGGGGACCCAGCGCCTACAATGCCCACAGCGCCCCAACCTCTTTTCCCCCCAGCTCAGCTCCAGCCGTTGACAGCTATGCAGGCGAGGGACGCTATGGAGGGGGGCTGTCCAGCCCAGCGCTCCAGCAGAACTCGGGCTATCCTGGCCAGCAGCAGCCTTCAGCACTGGGGGTGCCCTTTCCTAGCTCTGCGCCCTCAGGGTACGCCCCGGCAGCTTGCAGCCCCAGCTATGGGCCTTCTCAGTACTACCCTCTGGGCCAATCGGAAGGAGATGGAGGCTATTTTCACTCGTCGAGCTATGGGGCTCAGCTAGCGGGCTTGTCCGATGGCTACGGAACGGGTGGAGTTGGCCCGGGGCCCTACCCTCCGCCACAGCCGACTTACGGCACCGAGCAGACAGCCGGCTTCGCACCAGCCTACGCTGATCTCCTCTCCGAGGACAAGGACTCATCCTGCCTGACAGAACCCTGCACGCCTACGACCCGGACTTTCGACTGGATGAAGGTTAAGAGGAATCCACCCAAGACAGGTAGGGCTCAAATGTGGTCACCCCCTTTCTGGGGCCCAAGGCAGCTTAACTGCCCCATGCACTGAGGTGACCTGGGCTTGGGCTGGGCTCTTCTCTCTCGTACCCTCTGGTGTAAGCAGGTAAGTCCACTCCACCCATCTCTGGTTAGGTGAGATCTTCCCACCCAGTAAGAACTGGGTCACCCCCAAGAGTAGGTCTCCATCCACACCCTACTTCTTGACCCGGGCTCCCAGTTTGGGCTCAGGACCTGGTACATTAGGGTGTGTGTCGGGGGGGGGGGAATGGAAGTATGGGGGTGGTAGTTCCAGATTTGGAGATCACCATGGGAGTGCCAGGTGATACGCGGAGACTGAGAACTGAAGAGGACAGAATGGTAAATGAGGGTGCACAGTGGACTGGGAGGAGCGGAGGGGTGGGAGAAAGAGGTGAGAGAACTGACGTGGCCTTTCTCCCTGCCCCGCCCCTAGCGAAGGTGTCGGAGCTGGGGCTGGGCGCGCCCGGCGGCCTCCGCACCAACTTTACCACGCGACAGCTGACCGAGCTGGAGAAGGAGTTCCATTTCAACAAGTACCTGAGCCGGGCCCGGAGGGTGGAGATCGCCGCCACCCTGGAGCTCAATGAAACGCAGGTCAAGATTTGGTTCCAGAACCGGCGCATGAAACAGAAGAAACGTGAGCGAGAGGAAGGCCGGATGCCCCCAGCTCCATCAGGCTGCCGCAAGGAGGCAGCTGGAGACGTCTCGGACCAGTCGACTTGCACCTCTCCGGAAGCCTCACCCAGTTCCATCACCTCTTGAACTGAACCTTTTAACCAAAGGGGCTTCCAACACTGGAGCGCCCCAGTCAGGCCCTCTCCTTGGGTTTCCCCAACTTCACTGCCCTGGCGATCCTTTCCAAGGCTGGGATGCCAGTTTAGAACTGCCTGGGGAGGTGGGAGAGGCTCTGGGGAAACATTTTTCTCAGATCTGGACGGGGAGGAGTGATGACGGGGATCCCACAGGACAGAGGCCTGGGAGACACCCCAGTCTGTCAGAGGTGGAGGGAAAGGCTTCTGCCTTTGATCTGGGGATCCACTCAACCTTAACATGTGGGTAGGGTGGGAGCCAGTCCGTTCTCCTGAATTCTCGTTTCCCTTCCATCTTCAGTTCAGTGCCTTTGAGCTTGGAGGACTCTCCTTATGCACTCATCCTAACTCCCCTTTCTAGGCCTGGGATACAGAGAAGGCCTTGGATTTTCTTGTGTGGGATGTGTTCCAGTGCAGGCACATCCTTAATCTTAATCCTTAATCCAGTCACCACAGACCTTACAATAGCACCAGCTGCCTTGTGATAGACCAAAAAGCTCCCCCCCATATAACCCAATTAGCCATCTCCTAGCACATTTCTATTGCACTAATGCAGCCCCCAGAGGTTGTTTTCTGACACCTGCCTCCTTCCACTAGCGACCTCATCATTAAATCACCAAAGTGTTTTGGAACTTGGTAGTTCAGAGACTTCTGGGGAGGCCTGCCCCCAACAAGTCTCAACCAGGAAGTTTCAGGCAGGCTCCCACTCTCCTTCACCCCCTATTTATTGCCTCCTGGAAACCCAGGATTCTCTTCTCCATCTCCATTCTTATCCTTAGGGCTGCCCAGAGAGGCCCAGGAATCAGTGAGACCTCCAAGCAGCCACAAAGATTTCTTAGAACCTAGGAGACAGTGGAGATGCCATTCGGAGTTTCTGGGAAAACTGAGCCCCAAGCAAGCCAGGTTCTCTCTGTATCTCCAACTACCTCACTTCAATAAAGCCCGTGTTTCGCTCCTCTTCCTTCCTGCCTGTGCTCCTCCATTTAGGGGTGGAGGAGGCCCTCATACTCCACGAGCCCCAAAGAGCTGAGCTTTATCTCAGCTGGAAAACAAAAGGACTTACTGGGTGTGGGCATAGCAGAACTGAGTCCCAGGCACCTTCGCTGGACAGTAGGCAGTCTTGGAAGAACCCAGAAAACATGGAGGAAGAAGGTGAAGTGACATGATCAGAGATGTTCTTGAGAGGAGGGCAGGAAAGGAGAGAAACAGATCTGTTTGGAGGAGGAAGTGTAGGGGAAGGTGGAGGGGGACTGTATTTCTTCCCTTTTCCTCAATTCCCCTCCCTCCCGCCTAGAGCTAGGCCTAGCATACAGTGGGCGCTCTGAAGGAGTGAAGCGGACAGGGGTGGGGCTGCATGATGCCCCCTGCCCGACATCCTTGCTCAGAGAAAGCCAGAGGACCGATCGCTGACCAATTTCCGACTAGCACACAGGTTAACACACCTCCTCTCTCCCAAGCCACTGCCCTTCCACTCAGCGACTCCACCAGGACGTCGGAGAGGCTGCCCACTCGGGGCGCAGCTCGCGTGCCTCCAAATGCCTTTCCGCCCGGGCTCGGGCTCAAGGTGAACGCCCTCCGCGTCCGGGCAGCACCGCAGGAAGGTGGTGGCCGGGAAGGCGAGGGGAGGAGGACAGGCCGGCGAAGGGAGATGGGTGGGGAAGGCGCGGGGATCCGCGGACTGTGGGGCCTAGGGTGGGCGGAGGCCGCGGAGGTAGGTACGCCAGGATCGTCTCTTTTTTACCTCCCAGCGCCTCTGGCCTTTCCAAACAAGCTCGCGTCACTCCCGGGAGCGACTATTGTCCCATTGGCAAACCTTTGGTCAGCGGAGGCCAGGGCCGGGGCTCAGGATGCTCTGTGGTCGCCAATAAACCACCATTGCTCACTCGCCCGGTGATGCCATCGATAGGAGGCAGGCCTTGGGCTCCGGGTTCCGGCCCGGGTCTATTGAGTCCTGTTTCCCCGGGAGCCTCGATGACTCCCGGGACCAGGACAGCACCCAGGGAGATCCACGGAGGGTCATCTTACCCGCGCTCCCCCCGCATCTGTTTAACTTGTGACCTTGGCAACGAAAAGGACTAGGAGTGTATGTAAACGGCGCTTCCTCAAGAAATTGGTGCCATTATCCGAGAGGCATCGTTATCAAAAATTGCACTGCCCAGCTGGAGAGGAAGAGAAGTGTGTTGCAAGAGGAAGCCACGCTTTCCCAGAGGCTGCTTTCTTGCCCTCTTTTTTTTTTTTTTTTTTACTCTATTAGCTGCTTTTTGCATTTAATTGAAATTGCCACTAAGCTTGGCTTCCCCAAAAGGGTCACCTTGACAGAGGGGACAGAGCAAGTGTCTGTGAAAGCAAAACTCTCCTTGCTTGGAACCCATTTAACACGGACCAGTAGAGCCTTCTAGTTGGGGTATTTGTGAAATCCTCCACTTTGGACACGTGGGCAAAAAGGCAGGAGGAGGAAGAAGCAGTGGTTAGAACAAGGCTGGACCTTAAGAATGGTGGAGCTAGTTTCTGGGATTGACAGGTGTGTGTGTTGGGGGGGAAGTGATGGAAGGGCTAGGAGAAAAGGGAAAGGCTGGCACATTTCATTTTTGGCCATAGCAGAAGGAGCCATCAGATTCCTCCAGGGAAAGGTGAGGGGCAAATCAATTCTTCATTAACACAGAGGCAGGCGCAAAATAGCCCATCACAAATCTGAGCCTCTTGTCTCCTTAGCTGCAAAGATCCAGATGACTTCTGAGAACATTGCACTCTCCTCCTTGCATGCCGCTTCAAGTCAGGGGCCCCAGACAGGTCTCCAGGAAGATATTATTTGGAGAAAGAAAAGATCACTGTGTATTTTCCTACTGTAAATGACAAAGGAGAGAATGATAACCAAAGAAAAACACAGTTTGCTCCAATTGGCCCAAATTGGGGGTCTTCATTGTTGAACTCTCCAGAACAAATGCCAAAATGCTCCACTCAGTCTGCCCCACACCTTTCAGATAAGTCTTTTTTATTGCAAAATTTCAAAGACCTTCTACCTCCCACATCTCCATTTACCAGATCACAAAAAAATCTCCAGTTTTGAAAATAAAAATCTTTGTGTGAGTGTGTGTGTGTCTGTGTGTGTGTGTGTGTGTGTGTGTGTGTGCACGCGCGCAGATTGAAAGATTGTCAAGGTTTCTGAGGAGCACTTTCCCCCAATCCCCTGGCCACCAGGTTCGAGGGGCAGTCAAGCCCCTTCTCCACCTTACTGTCTATAACATCTGTTTCTCAGCCCAGTGTGAACCATTCCTCTTTTATTTGCCCTTTAGCTTAGCATTTGTTCTCTCAATGTGAGACCCTTTGATCTTCTGGACAAGAGAGAAAGAAAAATTTGAAACTCTGAAGTTCTTCTTATAATTCCAGGATTTCTTTGTTATGAACATTCCTTACCCCAATACCGGTCAGGAGTTGGGGTGTGGATAGGGATGTCAAGAAATCGGATGTCCCAGATGAGGCAGATCAGCTTGATTCAGAAGGGAGGTCCAAGGAGTTGGTAAAATGTCCAGGGTACATGTACTCAACTCTGAGCTCTGCCTATTATGGTCATAGGCAAGTTGCCTAATTTCTGTGTCCAGTTTCATTATTTGCAAAATGGGCATAAGGTTGGCATCTTTCTCATAGTGTTGATATTTGGGATTAAATTCATTAATATGTGTTAAACATTTGGAACACACCCTAATAAGTAAATGTGACCTGGAACAATTATTACCATTTTTAAAAGGGATATGTTCACTTCTTTTTCTATAGTACTCAATCTATTTCAGGGTGTATCTTGAATATGTCATGTCTTCTTTGATCCCTGATGGGTGTATGAGGCTAAAGACAGGTGGAATGAATTTCTTTCTTAGCTACTGAGAACACCCTGTGTCATCTGTCTGAGACCTCTTCCTTTTTCTGATCTCAGCCTGCCCACCTATAGAGGAGGAAAGCATCACTGCTTTTTATGCTCTTTCCCTCCCTTTTGTATTATGGGAAGTTGGCAAGAAATCTTGAAGGTGGACACTCCAAGTTCCTGATTTAGTTAGTGGAGGGTAAAGGTTCTGAACTACAACTTAGTTTTCTGTGTGGTCTCCCTTGTATTAGCTGGGTGAACTCATGCCATTCCATTTCTTCATACTTTCCTGTTGCTTCCAATCCTTCAAATGTAAAATGGAAGATGTTGAAGACTTAATGATACATATAAAAAGTTCAGCAAAGTTTCCTATTTTATATATGTACAAGTCAATTTTCCATTACATTCCTACATTGAGTTAGTCTTGGTCTTTACATGATAAAAGCAGACATTCTCTAGTCTTTGTCCTTCTGTCCTGTACCAGCAGACCCACCAAGCATTATAACCATAGGACTTACTGCCAGGGAATAAAACAAAAGGGGTTCAGGGGAGTCCTACAGAGTACTGGCTTATAGTAAAGAAACAAAGGGGGATGTTTTTGACAGGACAGCCTCATTGCATATCTTAGGGAGCATCTTTTCATGGTAGTCCATGAGACTGGCGCCCCCTACAGTTGTACCAGAATTTTTCCTGATGACTCAGTCCTGTCTCCAAGGATTTTTTTGCATGACCTTCCTTGTATGACTCAACCACAGTGTTCCAGATGCTTCAGCCTTTGCTAGTTCTCTGGCTCTGAAATGCATTATGTAACCAGAGTGTGTCCTGGGTGGGACAGGAATTGGAGATGCAAAAATAAAACAAAACAAAACAAAACAAGAAAAGATAATATCCATGCCTGGGAAAACAGGGGAGCCCAAGCAGCTGCAGACTTTTGCTTAAAAGTGCCCCTCATCCACCATCATTCTCTTTGTTGGGAAAGAAATGGATCAGATATTTCAGAGAAGAAAGAATTTTGTAGGAAGTCAGGAGACTTGAGTTTACTGTACCAAGGACATCTTTTGTGTCCTTGGGTAAATCACGTAACTTCTCTGGGCTTGCTTTCCTGTATTTAATATAAGTTGAATTATCCCACTGCAGCTTGACTCATCTTTGCCTCTGAAGATAAAAGACACAGGTAAGAAAGGATGGAAACTTGTTGGGG